TCCTTTTTCCCTGGGCTGCACCTGCTGTGCAGTGTTTTCTTTAATACCTTCCTTCACATAATTGCCTGACAGCTGCCTGCAGTCCATATCTGCTTCCTGCACCTCACCATTTCCCAGCAGCACAGCTGCCAGGTCTGGCACATATTGCTAATGCCTCTCCAAAACCTTCCAGGAGTAGTAATTCATTAGCAGGATTTAGTTTTTGAAAATTAACTGTCAGGCTTTGCAGTACAGTACAGATGTAAAATCCTCCTCATCACTGGCAGCTTTTATTAATGTTCTATAAATACAACTATAGCAAGGCAAAATGATGATTACATTAAATTATGTTGAAAGCATTATAAGCAGATTAGGAGTAAAAAGTTTACAGAGGTGCTGCAATTGTCCCCCCATTGCATTACACATCCTAAAAATCTTGTTCCAGGGTTACACAGGAAAAGAAAACACAGCAGATCTCATAAAGATCTAGAAGGGCGCTGCTAACTTTACACTACATGGTATGATGATGGAGTTTTGTGTTTGTAACCACTAATCAGAGTGGGTGAATTTATAAAGGCATACTGCTTTTCAACACATTTCCTAAAAAACAACCCTTATGGTATTACTATAAAGATGTCACAGAGTTAATAAAAAAGTAAGTATCTGTGGAAAATGTCAAACTGAACCAGAGGAACCATTACCTATGTCACACTCTCCACTAGGAAGATGAATGCATCATGAAAACCTCAGCATGGTTTTCTCACCATGACTATGATGAAAATAAAAATAGTTCTGTGTGTGTGTCTAGACAATATTCACAAAATTCTCTCCAGTACATAAAAAAAATATTTTGCAGCATGGCCAGATACTCAGCTTTCCACTGATTCATCCTATATACACACTTTTAAAAAATCACTATCCTAAAGACAACTAATATTCTACTTTTTGATAAAGATTTTATCTTCCCACTTTATCTGAAGAATGTTTTCCTATGTATAACAGGAAACTTCATTTCAAGGAATTTCAATGCATGCTGAGATAGTTCTATTATTTGGTTCTATGTATTTTGGGTTTTGTGGGTCTTATTAATAATATTTGGGAGTATTCTTTCCTTGTTCCCAAACCTCTGACATGCGCATTTCATCTGTGAAACAAATTGTACAAAAAGTTTCACTGAGCTGTATGAAACATAAATGTATGCAACATTCCAGTGACAAGCCCCAGGCTCCTGTCTTTTTACAGGAGCCAGTGATGACTACATGGAAGTCAGTACCAAAATCCTCCTTGCTCAGAGTACACGTATTGTGCATTGTGCAAAACTTAACAGATATGTAGCATCACCATCTGGTGTCATGTTGAAGGAGAAACTTTTGCATTACATACCACTGCCATGCTCCTGCAATTATTTTAGATCACCATCTGCCTTCAAAACAAGCTGAGTTATGTACAAAGTGACTCTCATCAGTCTGGCATGGCCATTGACACAGTGAGAGAGAGGCCTGCATTTGGGAACCTCATAAACGGATCCTTAGGTTTGTGCTATTGATATCAGTCCCACGTTCTGCTACCCAAAACTGCAGCCTCTTGCATGTTTTGTGATCTCTTCCCACAGAGGTGCTCACTCTAAGTCTTCCATTGTAAGTGCTTTTCCTACCTCGGTTTAAATAGTACATTTTCATAATCATTTTCAATAAGTCAGGGTCAATCAAGGTGGTTGATGGGAAGCACTTGGATGTTCAGTCTCCAGATGAAGTGGCTGGGATCTTCCAGAAGAGTGAGCTGCTCCACAGCACCAGTGCCCGAAAAGCCAGAATCTCATCCATGTGATGGTTCTGCTCTCCATCACACAAACCATAGACTCTGTTCCTGTATACTTAAGATTATGTCCTTATTTCTTATTGCAAAAATAATTTCACTATACATTGCTTTATTAACCATCAAACTTTTCAGGAAGATATGATGGGTGAATGAAAGTGTATGGGTATATTCCATGGCAAAACATATACATGACATAACAGAGTAAATGGGACAGTCACCATTCATTTTTAATTTTTCCCATTTAAATTTTTATTAAATAACTAAGTTTTATGTCTAAACTATAGGAGATAACAAAATCAGCCCTAATAAGTCATTAATTATTACAAGAACACCACTTTTGTTTCCTTATTCAACTCTTTATTTTGAATTTGTTCAAATACTCATGTTTGATACACTGCTAGTAAAATAGTTATTCAGTCCTCTCAATCCTGTTTATTCAGGCTTCTCATTATATATCCCAATATCCATTAAGACTTTAGACATTGATTGATGCTTGATCTTCCATTAGTACAAAGGGGGTCAACACATAGAAAAGGAAAATAAAACATCTCCTTAAAGTGTGAGCATCATAACAAAGTGAGTATCAGAGACTCAATTACTGCTACACACCGCCATGCTGCCACTAGGTGTCAGGGACACAATTCACTCTGCCCGAGCAGCAGCACCGCAGGCTTGCTGAGCTATGGCTCACGTCCCCCAAGGATGAGGGATAATTTTGTCTATGCTCTTATACCTCTCAGTTAAAAACTTTAAAAAGGCAGTGGAATTGGTCCTCTCTTTGAGAAGATCACTGTGGTGAAAACTCTGTGTACTTGTGCACTTAGCTCTGCCTCCCTGGTAGCCATAGTGAGGGAGTTACAAATACAAATAAGAGGCAAAGTACAAAGAAAGTACAAGACAAGGGCGGAGCAGCAGACATTGTCTGCCTGGACTGCTGTGAGGCCTTTGACACTGTCTCTCATAATAAACTCACAGAGAACCCAGTGAAGCATGGCCTGGACAGACACACACAGTGAGGCACACTGAAAACTGTCTGAACATCTGAGGCAGAGTCTAGCCAGAGGCCAGGAACCAGCAGTGTACCTCAGGGGTCAGGGCTGGGTCTAATTCTGTTTCAAGTCTTCATCAATGGCCTGGATGACAGGGCAGAGTGTACCCCCTGCCAGGGTGCAGCTGACACAAATCTGGGGGCTGGGTGGAGTGGCTGATACACCAGAGGGTTGTGCTGCTGTCCAGAGGGAACATGACAGGAATAGGTGAGCAGGAAGCTTAGGAGGTTCAGTAAAGGAAAAGACAAGTCCTGAGTCTGGGGAGGAACAGCCCCATTCACCAGTATATGCTGGGGGACACCCAGCAGGAGCATCTTTGCAGTAGATCTGGGTCCTGCTAGATGCAAAACTGAACATAAGCCAGTGGTGTGCTTGTGTAGCAAGGAGGGCTGAAGGGATCCTGGGCTGCATTAGGAGGAGTGCTGCCATCAGGTCAAGGGAGGTAATCCTTTCACTCTACTCACCACTGCTGAGGCCACACCTGGAGTACCATGTCCAATTCTGAGGCCCCAGCAGAAGACAGACATGGACATACTGAAGGAAGTCCAGCAAAGATTTCACACCTCTGATCACCAACCCCTGGGCCTGGCCATTCAGCTGTTTTTCAACCCACCTTACTGCTCATCCAGCTCATATACCACAGCTTGTTTATAAGGATCTTATGGGAGACAGTGTCAAAGGCCTTACTGAAGTCCAGGCGAACAATATTCAAAGCTCTCCCATCATCTACCAGGCCAGTCACTCCATCATACAAGTTCCTCAAGTTGCTCAAGACCTTCCCCTTAGGCAAGCATGCTGACTTCTCCTGGTGATTTTTTGATTTTTTTTTTGATTGTTCATATGCCTGGGACTGGTTTCCAGGATTCCATCACCCTCCCAGGGATCAGGGTGAGGCTGACCAGTCTGTAGTTCCCTGGGTCTTCCTTCTTGCCCTTCTGAATGATAGAAGTGGCATTTACCTTCCTCCGGTCTTCAAGTGCTTCTCTCAGTCATCATGAACAATTGAAGATCATTGAATGATTATTGAAAGTGGCCTCACAATGGCATCTGCCAGCACCATCAGCATCCTATCAGGACCCATGGACTCATACATGTCCAGTTTACTTAAGTATTCCCTGATCTGACCCTCTTTCACCAAGGGTACATGTTCCTTGATTCAGTCTTTCTGCCTGGTCTTTGGGATCTGGGACTCCTGAAGGTCAGTAAAGACGGAAGCAAAGAAAGCATTCAGTATCTCAACCTTTTCCATGCCCTGTGTACCCAGATGCACACCTCATTGAGCAAGGTGCCCACATTTTCTGCAGTCTTCCTTTTGTCACCTGTGTACTTTTAGAAACTCTTCTTGTGGCCTCCATCATCCCTTGGTCTGATTCAAATCCAGCTGGGTTTTAGCTTTCCAGACTTCATCTCTCAATATTCAGACAAAGATTCTCACAGGTGTTCCTCACAGGTTACCCATCCTTGCATCATTTTGTGTGTGAGTATGGCCAGGAACAACTTCTTTATTCACATGGCCCTCTTGAAATTTTTATCTGTTTTTATTCATTGGGATGGAACAATCTTGAGTATGTAGGAGGCAAGTTTTTAATATTAATCATCTTTCTTAGCCCCACCCTTCCTCCAGGGTGTCATCACACAGCATTTTTTTCAAGAGCTCTGAAGAGGCCAAAGTCTGCTTTCCTGATGTCTAGGGTTCTGACCTTGTTTTTCCCGCCTCCCTGCCCCTGGGATCCTGAATTCCACCAGCTCATGGTCACTGCAGGCTGACCTGCACACAAGGCTGTCTTTGATCTTCACAATCCCAACAAGCCCACCTCGGTAAGGATGTGGTCCAGCAATGCACTTCTCCTAAGTGGCTTCTCTCTCACTTGGAGGCTTGGAGGAAGAATGCCTTCCAGGAACTTCCTGGCTTGTTAAGTTCTACAGTGTTGTTATCACTGTTGCTCTGCAGGTCATACTATCTAAATCTGTGCTGTGCATTGAACTTGTTATGCAATACATTCAACTCTGGTGACATGAACTGACTTCCATGGCTTTGGCAGTCCTTTGTGCAGGATCCACACAACTACCCAAGATCCCTTTTGCCACGCCATCTGAGGATCTCTTTGTCTGTAGGGACTGAACTTGGGACTGGACCCTTTCTATTGCGTTTTATTATGTGTGCTGTAGATAAGATTCCTGTTTCATTTTAGCCATCGGAAACATGAGATAGCCTGCAAATAATACAGAAAGCAGTGAGAAAAATATTCAGGAAAAAGAAAGATTATTTTTCTGGAATCTGCAAAAAAGTAACTTTCAAAGTACTTACAGATTTACTACACCCTGTAGAACTGTCTGTTGGATATATATAATAATACTGCGACAGGCAGTTTTGGTAGTAGTAGTCTGAAGACTTTTCTTGGAAAATTGTTATTTTTTTTTCTAAGAAATCTTAAATTATGATTCAAATAACTCTTTAGCTAACACCAAATACATTCAAATTCCCTACTATACACTATACACACTGTATACTAAACTATACACACTGAAAACAAATAAAAATAAATAGAAATAAATAATAGTCTTAAGTAGGACTTTGCAACCAGGCAAAAGAAAGGATCAGCATTTTAAGAAGAAAACATTTCAGGATCTCAGCAGGCAACATCCTTGAGCTTAGACAGTGCCACACAGGCAAATCTAACCTATGCTGGGTAAGCTCTCATGACATCCTGCATTGCCACAGAAATCCGCTGGGGTGCAATGTCTCTAGGAACACAGACAGAATTGATCATTCTATTGCCTATAATGTCTATTGCCCATTTAAAAACCTTCTGCTTCCTAGACAAAATAATTCTGGTTTTACAAAATTTTGCTTTCTTTTTCTGTCATTTATTAGAATATAATTAACTTAGAAAGTTTTCTCTGATTATTTACCAAGAATGGCTACAACACATATTTCTTTTAACAGCTACATACATTATGTTTGCACAGTGCACAGCAAGATTTCAGAAGCAAACTCTAGCTAAAAGCACTTAGCAGAAAGTTACTTTTTCTGGGCCAGTAAGAACAAGCCTTTCTGTTTTGAAACAGCTTTCCTAGCAGACATTTTCACAATGCCAAAGATGGGATACAGTAGTGTCTGTCCATTCAGTGTCAGTCTGGAAGTTAACTTTCTGAAAGAACAATTAGTTGTCCATTTAAGATGTTTTGAGCTGGACTACCAGAAACTTGGGCATGTAAAAGGCATTTGTAATTTCTAAAATAATTTCCTTTATCTGATTTTAGATTGAAAACTTGAATGTATAGAATAATATCAGAAGAATTATGTTCAATTCCAATGAAAATTTTAACTTTCAACGCTATAGCATTTTCCTCCAGAATATCACAGAATGTCTGTGTTGAATGAGAACATAGGTTTAGCCCTAGCAGAGGCTGAGATTAGATCTGACAACTTGATTAGAATCCTAAATACCCAGTCTATTTCTGTACACCTATATCATGTTTTCCCTCACCACCTCTGCTCAGAGCCAAAACACAAACCCTGCTGCATGTGGATACTTGGTCACGTGTTGGCATGCCAACCTCTCAAACAAATGCCAGTGAATGAGGAACTGCTTCTTTCCACAGTGGGGGAAAAATTGTGTTATGGAAATATTGACACTTCACAAATAAGAAAAATAATGGGTCTTCAACAAATTCAGTCATAAGGAGGAGAAAAGGTCTATGCAATAGTAAATATTTCTCATTTTATTGTGTTAAGTTGCAAGATGATATTTAAGTACTGTCTGCCAGAGTAAAAGGGGAACGCCATACTGTTGCATGGCTGCCTAGTTTTCATAAACAGGCTGTTTCTAAAGTACCATAACTACAACTGCCATGGTTCCCCCAGAAATCAAGTTGCCCCAGCTATGTTTCTCTCTCAGTTATCTCTTTCATATCATACTTAAACTAACAAATTTCTGTTTAGGTGAGCTAGTAGCTTTGGGTTTATGTCATGCAGCAGATGTAATCCAGGCTCTAATTATGTCTAGACTTAGTTCAAATGCTCACAACCTGTTTCCTTGGAAATAGATGACAATAATATACTAATATACTACCTTGTTCATTGTCCTCCACACTTTGTATCTTTAGTGCAGAATTGTACTGAAGTTTCTTGCAGAACTAGCATCAATTCTCACCAGCATTTTGCCAGGGAAAAAAAGTCATGTGAGTTCATACTTATGGAAAATTCATGTCCTCAGAAATCTTACTGTTCACTTAGGGACTAAAGTTTTCACAGAAATCAGTACCAAACGATTGCCCTGTATGGATATCAAACCTCATTTGAACTCTAAATTATATATGTAGTATAAAACCACTCCATTTCTTTCTGTCCCTACACATAAATCTGAAATAATCCTTGAAGTAAAAATAGCAAAGTGACTAGTGCCCACAAGAAAATACATGACCTGAGTACATTGATGAAAATGTTGTCTAAGTGCACTGCCAACACCAGCCTGCCCATGATCATGCAGATCCTACAGGACATGATGGTATTTAACTTCTTTCATTTCTTGTTACTCTCCTAACTGTAACTCTTACCCTAATTCTAACACCACTATCCATCCTAATATAAAGCACAGGATATTGGCTCTCAACACAGTGCTGAACACTGCCCAAGGGCAATGAGAGCTGGGACTGAGGATTTAGCGCCCACCTGAGACTCACCAGCCTTCCACACTCAGTCCAGCCCCATTCCAATCTGTAAAGCCCTTCACACAGGGGTTCCCACAAAAGCATGCCTTCAGTGCCTTCCAAGTCCAGCCCTCACTCCAGCTATGCCCACCATGGTCTCGTCACAGCTGGGCAGAGCTCTCCCATCCCTCCATAATATCCCCTGTGCCAAACAGGGAGCTTCTGTGCAGCTGACTGAAAAATGACTTTCATAAAGGATAAAGCACAAGGTCTCTCATTCATTCAGATACTATCAACCTCTTTCCCAAATCAACCCTCTTCCCTGCTCTTCTCAGAACTGCAGAGAGATGCCAAACCTCAAACTCAAGGTGTGAGTGTTGGCCTGCATGGATGCCAACCCTCACAATATCCCAGGGACCATTCCTAAGTTAGCAAAAGAGGGATGACAGTTATGTCTGGGTCCTCTCCTCTAATTGTTTTAAAGAGACAGTCAAGCCATCTTAGACTCCTCTTTTGGTGATTATTTGCTCTACTACTTTTTCTTATAAAAAAATCTTCAGCTTCTGCTTATTTTGGATACCACTTTACAGTGAGAGATGCCTTTACTGACTTTGATCTTCAGATTTGATGTCTGCAGTCAGCAGCAAATGGTATCTGTGTATTGCTCCCTCCAGATATTGACTAACTGGGCAGAAAGCTGACAGTCTTGATCTGGGAGCTGACACAAAAGCCAGGGTGGGGTGTGAAAACCTTTCAAAGAATTTTGTTTAGCTCAGAACTAGAGACTTGCTACAGAACATGCAATTTAGGGAATTCCTTGAAGGGCCTTAGGGACATTTTCCATGTTTCATGAAGTTTTACTGTCTGGATTGAAGCAGTGGCCTGTATCTGACTCTCTGCTGAGTACCCAGTTTCAGAATTTAGGCTAATGCAGATAACACAGTTACACCTGTAAAGCATATAGGGAGTTTCTAAACATATATATGTCACTGAATCATGGAAAAACCCAAAACACTGTTCATCCTGATAGCTAGAGCCTCTATCCAAAATCTGAAGGAGTAAGGAAAACAAAGATGTTTTGACCAGAAGAAAACAGAAGGCTTGCATGCCCTGCTAGGAATAAAGTGTGCAGCAACTTACAACCCATATCTCATCTTTTGACTAGTCTTGAGTATGGGTATTAAGCCCACTTTTTCTTTCACTTTCCTACCCCTCTCCAATCCCAAAAAACCCAGCAAGATCATCCCTCCTCAGTCATTAGCTATGAGGTGCTTTAGCCTGATAGCAACAGCTAATCTGAGTCCTATATATGAATGTTAAAAAGGCCTTGATAGGACCTCTCTGTGGGACACCCATCCTAGGAGCCTACACTGTATGGGCAGGGGTGGGATGGCTCAGTGAAGCTACCTAACATGTCATCCATGCCTCGTCTGGGAAGTTCACAAGGCTGTCTGACAGAGCATGGTGGCCCCAACAACTGACTAAAATAGCAGGAGGCTCTTTTCCCTGTTGCATAAAGCAACATTCAATCAATTGAAAATTTCCATGCACAGCTCCATCTTACCTTTCTAATATTTTCTTACTACATCTGGAGAAGAGACAGGCAGTTAAAGTTAAGTGTCCCTCACTTCCCTCCTGATCACAGAGTGCACTCAGATGTTGGTCCTCACACGAAGGAATTATCAGTTCTTCCTTTTCTGCCCCCTGGCTGCTGGCACCAGATGTCCCTGATGGTCTCTCTCAATTCAGATATCCCATGTTTCCTCTAACAGTCCATGTGCAATGATGGACATCACATTGTCAGAGCACTTTTAAAACAAAAGTACTGTTTATTTCATCCAGAAAGAACAAAGCACACAGAGAAAAGTATTTGAAAACAAGGATATGAATGTCTGGTTTATTTTTTCTTGCTAAAAAGGTGGCATGGTCACTTACTTCCTCAAGTTAGCCATAAGAAAAAAAAATTCAACTCATAGAATTAATCTATGCATAATGTAGGAAACCGAACAAAGGGCAAATCAGACTTTAAAAGATACTTCCCTAGAAGTCTTTAGAAATTATTGAAAAATTAAAATAGGAACCCTAAACCTGACTTCTTCCTTTCAGTGTGCCTTTTTCTATCTCCAGTCTTACAGAGAGAGGTTTGATCCAGTTCCCACTTAAAACTACAGCTGAAATGACTGGAAACATTTAACTGAATGCAGCGGGCATTAGATTAGGACTTCATTCACAGTCATTCACACACTATCCAGTAACTGGAAATAACACATGTACAACTTCCCTCTGGCTGAGAAGTTAACCCATCACTGCAAGGATGCCCCAGCAACCCCCTCTAGTATCTCACACTGCAGTAGCTATGCATAGTATGTGCAGCTGGCAATAAGATTTCCCACCATCCTGCTGAAAACCATCCATTTAACTCATACAACGACTCATGAGTTACTATCTGAGTCTGAGTAGAGAAAACCACAGCCAGCTCTTCAGCAGTGCAGTAGTTAGTGAGCACACCAAGCCTGTCCTTTCCTGTAAACAACCTCTCCTTAATGTATTTTCAGACACA